TGTGTGTGTGTGTGTGTGTGTGTGTGTGTGTGTGTGTGTGTGTGTGTCCTGTGATGTTGTAAAGCTGCTGAGGACGTGAGCTTACCCCGACAGAAGCTCCACAATAAAACAGCAAAGAGGAAAGTAGGTGGACTAAGAGCTTCGTGTTGATTGCATTGTCGACACTAATTTCCTTCCTTTCCGAGAATGTTTTTCTCCCCTTGAATAACAATCTGCATGATTTTCTTTTCCAGCCTCCAGATTCACAGAGTCACCTGATTACTGATTGTGTGTGTGTGTCAGCGTGAGTGTTTGTGCACAGCCTGATAAAACCTGTTTATCTTTGTTTCTATGTGAAAAGCCTGTATTAGATCTTTAGAGGTCATGAGGATCAATGGGCCATGGCATGTATATAGTATTTCTTTTTGCTATGAAAGAGTTGCAATTTTTATGTGGATGCCTTCACGTCCAGCCCTATTTCTCCTTATGTGCTCTGGGGAAGTAAATTGTTACTTTGAAATAGTTTGTTTCATCTCCCTCACATTTTTTTCAAACAATAATATGACTTGACAAGACAACAGCTGACAAAACACAAGACATTGATGGTGCACATTTTCTTTGGAACCTGCAGAGTATTCCAGATTTGTGAAAGCACAGTTTGTTTGTTTGTATTTTAAAGTATATCCTCTGTTGTGTACGAGTGTATGCACCAGCAGCTCCGTTTGTCAGTTTGCCACTGTGTGTGTTTATGTGAATACGGGTGATAGTGTGCATTTGCAACAGCAGACACACACACACACAACACACACAGTGAATGTATTCCAGCTCTGTTTTCAGGCTTTTCAAAGGGATGAATCAGGCTTCTCCCGGCGGATTGTGTGCGGAGGTGAAAGCCAGCTGAACTGAGTCGTGAGGACGCGGGGACAAAGACCTGATGGATTAGGGCTGCAGTGTTCACTTCTGAGCCCGTGTCTGATAAACAAAGTCAACCCGGGCCGGGCTGTGCGGCTGCAGTTACTGCTGATTGGCTGTAAACACAGTACGAGTGCGGTACAGTGTTTGGCCCCTCGCTGTGTTTGTGCAGGATCAGATAAACAGGGATATAATGGAGGTGTAGGGACTCCACAGAGCTACAGATGTGATCCGTGCACTTGAAGTAGTAATGTGGTAGGGACATGAGGGAGTCAGAGTGAGTGTAAAGTGTGTGTCTGTTCGTGTGAACGCAACTTCTGTTGAGAGACAAAAGGGCCTGATGGAAGGTTTAATGACTGCAGCAAAACATCTTCTAATCTTTTCTCTTTCTCTAACAGTTGTCTTCTGGCCTCTCAGTTACACTAACAACCAGCAGTGAAGCTTGTATAACTTGAGACTTTGTACTTATACTGTGTATCGGATGCACCCTGAAGCTCTGCCACATGACCCAAAGGTGTTCATTTGAGGGTTTTTTTTAAACTGGAAGTTATTTAACACAAGAAAGTGGATATTGTGTGGACACAATTCTTTTTCAAAATGTCAGGTTGGTTTGGATGCATCTGTAGTAGTTTTATGCTTTAACTATTTATCGTCCATTGATTGTTCGCTAAAAGTAATGGAAAACCATTTTAAATGACCTTTTTATCTTTTACTGTTACTACTTTTTCAACCATTTGTCCTATACGTTTTTTTCAATAATTTATACATTCATTTTAACTATATTCTTAGAATTTATACATTACTTTTGGCTAAATTTCAACTGTTTATGCATCATGTTTATGCTTATTTTAAACAGTTTATTAATTACTCTAAGCTTACACGTATTAGAAAAATGCTTAAAATAGATATTCATCTATTTCAACCAGTAATCCATTAATTTTAGGCTAACTGTTATTAGCTTAACTCCACTTGCTTGCAAACTACTACTTCACTTTTTTAAGTAGTTTAGTTACTTCATATTCTCTCCACATAGCTGTGGCAACTGCAGAAGTAGCCCTTGGGGTACAAGAACCTCTGGTTGGGAATCACTGCTGTATGTAATATGGATTCCAATTTTGTGCAGTCATGTTGTGAGACAATAAAACCTACAATAAATCCAACAGTGGCTATCAAGTAACAGCATGTGAAAGAAAATACATGAATATCGAATCATTCAGATACAGACTACCAGCAGGCTTCCACAGCTGCCAGATGTTTTGTAGTTCAGTATGAGTCAATGCTCAACTGATTTGATAAGAATACACCACTCAACATTTGCCACACTGATGTATGAGCAATCTCAGTGTTAAAATAGGTAGCAGCAGGGTGGCTGGGTGCTCCTGCTGTTTGCAGCTACGGGTACTATCTGAATTATATTTGGTAATTTATTATTTATAAGCTCTTTTTCTTTTGCCTGTTTTAATTTGGCTTCCTTTTCCAGCAGATCTGACTTTTGTTTTTGGAAAGCTACAGCTCCCAGATGGCTGTATGCTCACAAATATTAAGAAATATATGGAGTCCCGGGACACCATAATGGCTGTCTTGCTGTCAGTACTAATCCTTCAACAGCGAAACTCTACTCACCCAAAATAAGAAGCTGAAGAAGAAGAGAAAATATCTGATCCAGGGGTTGACGTACGAGAACGTCTCGGCTCGGTTCAGATTGTGTTCCCTGTCCATTGTTTGTTGGTGTTTCTACAGTCACCAAAGTGCTGCAGTGAGTTGAACTTCAAAACTAGTCCTCAGGCCGAGCCCCACCCCGCAGACACTCAGCAACCATGTGAATCTGTGTGGAGGGGGTTGTTTGCCCGCTGTGGAGGTGTCAGGCTGGCTAAAAAAGGGGGCATGGGGCTGTGACGCTGCCCTGCCATGCTGGTGGGGCCCAGAACTGTCCATGTAGACAGGAAGATCAGATTACACAAAAAATATCTCTGGCTGACTGCAGCTGAATGGCTTTAGGGGCTTTGGAGTATTGTCAGCCTGCTGCTAGATTGTAGACCTTCTTTCATCCCAGTCACTCTATCTGTCGTGCTTCCTCTGTCGCTTCAAAGTTCCTTGATACCGTATATAAAAGGCCAACAAGCATATTGCCCACTTGTTTCAATATCATTGCTCATTGCCTCTAAAAGGCTCGTGTTCCAGTTTAGAAGTGACAGCATCAAATACAGATGCTCTTCTGCAAAGACTAGAGTAGAATCACAGTTGACAAAGGCTGGAGAACAACATCTCATGTGGTTAAATGACATCGGGCAGCTTGTTCTGATGTTTCCGCTGTGCCGCGTCGCTTTGTGCTCGAGAGCGAGTCTGTCGAATTTCAGCCACACATCACTCAAATGAATCAAGGAGCAAAGATGTCAGGCCACCGTTCTGTAATGAGATTTGGATGTAAAAAACGAAATTGATAATCGACCGGCTACAATGGATCATCTGTCAGACTGACGAGAGACCATCTGAGGACAGAGAACAGAAATAACTAGAAAGTTTATGTGAATGTATGAAGGAGACACTACTGGCTCTTTTCTAACTAGATCAAAACTCAGAGATGTAGTCAGAACCATCCTTGGGAATAGGAATACTGTATATGAATACTTAATCACAAGCTGATTTTTTTTTTTAATCATTACATTAGATGTCTCCTGTGGATTGCCAGAAGGACATGAGGTCCTAGCTCAGTACATTGCTAGAGCTTCATGCAGTCTTAATGAGTAAGATGGGAATGATACTACATCTGTACATTAAAGATATATGGAGCTACTGAACCTGGTTGGTTTCGCTCAGCATAAAGACAGAATCTTGAGGGGAAAGCAAAGAGTAAAACAACGTCTTAATGTGGTTTTATAGGGGTAACATAACAGCACAGACGGGCCCTATTGAAACATATTTTTTGTACGAATTTAACACAACCTGTTAATTGGTTCAGAGGTGCAAGTAGGCACATTTAAAAAAGAATAAAAATCTTTGGACAGAACCAGACTCGCCGTTTCCAGTTTTTGTGCTAAGCTAACCGCCTGCTAACTTTAACTTCATATTTCCCATAAAAAAACGTAAGAGTAGTATCAATCTTTACATTTACCTCTCAGCAAGAAAATGTTGAAGGATTCCTTTAAAATAAACAATTGCTTTTTACATGCTCATGTTTGTACACTAACTATTAAGGTACTGCCAGCAGCTGGTTGGCTTAGCTTAGCATAAAAAGAAACAGTGGGAAGTCAACGCTCAAATAGGTTGTGGTTTAATGCTAACTGCACCCAGCTAAGAAATAGTCTGGCACACAATGCCCCTGTAAAACCACAACGTTACACAAAATGTAATAAAATATGTTAATTATTGAGCGGTTGGTAGGTGGATTTTGTTGTCTTTGGACAGAACCAGATCAGCTGTTTCCAGTTTTTATATTATACTAAGCTAACCTTACAGACTAATAGCTGTAGCTGGGAGTGAAATCAATTTTCTCATCAAACTCTCAGCAAATAAACATACTTCCCAACAGCTTTCCGCCTTAATTCCAAAAGAATCGTACTTTCACCGTTATTACATTTATACAAATATTGTAAAACTTTTAAATTTTAAAGAAGAACAAAGTGTGAGGCTACAGAAAGCCTACAGCAGCATTAGTCGTGCTGTTTTTGCATGTGGAGTCATGTCAAAGTTAAAAGCCTTGCTGCCATGCAGTAGGAAAGATAGCAAGTTTATTCTGGAAAACGAGACTGACTGAGAACAGATAGCAGCAGAAACAACCTGCAGAAACCAGGTCCACTGCAGGTTATTAACAAGATGAATGATGCGGTGTGGGGACAAACTAAACACTCATCAAAATGAAAGCCGTCCCAATTTAGGTTAATGTAATGAGTTCTGCTAAGGATGAGTTGGAAAAAAGTGAAATGCTGTAATAACAATTAGGGAAAAAGAGTATAGTTGATTCTGTTTACTTTATTTCAGTACATGTTACTCATACAAAATAATCTGTACAAAGGCTAAAATAGGTCATATTTTTTGCATAGAAGGAAAAGTGACGTAAAACAGAAAGCCAGGATGGAATGGCACAATAAACTCCACTATCACACACGGGCCTGATAACAATTAGGTTCAAAAAGTGTTAGAGCTCCGTACAAAAATACTCTGCTGCTCACTCCATGCTGTAGAAACCAGAGACAAATTGGCGAGGGGCTCCCACTTTCATCATCTCCCTTTTGTTCTTGACAAAAAAAAAAAAAAAGAAACTCTGCTCGACTGGCTGACTATCATTAGCCCATCTCAGTGTCTTTAGGACAACAGTGCCTCAGGTTTTGTCATTCTTTAAAAAAAAAAAAAAAAGAGGTCCTTTTAGGGCGGCGATGCCACTAGGTTTCATTTAACACACCATGGCATCCGCTGTGACACCGCTTCACTTTGCTCTTCAAGCCAAGTCCTGTCTTTCAACCCCCAGCAAAACAAATTCAGCATCAAACACTGTTTAAATGCTGCCTGAATAATTGACAGTGACTTAAAAAGGGAATACATCAGGAGCATCGAGTCATTAAACATGAAAGGCAATGAGCGTACGGTATCGTGGGATTTTGTGACACTCTTTTATTTTTTTATAAAATAGTTGATTTCGAGAATAAAGAGAAGTTAGTGCACCACCTTGTATAGATATTTAGAGTGCTTTCACATGTAGCAGAAAACTCCACAGGACAAGGCTGGCAGGTATCAGATAGTGCCCCCCAGCAGAACACAACATCAAATACACCATTTTTCCAGAGCATACATTTCCACCGCTCAGATATTCAGCTGTAGCACAGGAGAAGGATTAGGAGGATATTACAGAAATAATATGTCGGCGGTGGCAAAAAAAATAATAAAAAATAGCTTCTAGGTCTCAAAATTCTTCACAGCAGACAAAACCCAATTACTGCATGTGTATTCTTCCTTTACCAGCGCTGTGGCTTATACTGGGAGTGCTTCCATGGATAAGAGGGAATACTTTATACTCCTTCCAATAAAAAGAAGATCATACGGAAAAAATGTGTCTTACTACAAGATGCAAATAAAATATGAAAACCATACTGACAAAAAACACAAATTTACATCAAATTGACACTGCTCCGGCATTTCACAGAGGCAGAAAAACCTATCAAACATGAGAGAATGAATAACATATGGCTGGAGGGTATTGTCCTTAAATGAGCACAACAGATCATAGGTTGTTAGGCAATTCACAATGGCAATGAAACTGTCAATGTGATTACAAGAGGTAAAGTATAACAGTAAGTTACAGCAGTTGTAAAATCAGCATATTTACATCCGGGGCTAACGTACAGGGCTGATATATACTGTAGTGGCATGAGCTCTGTGTTGTACAGTGTCATCTAATAGATCATGCTCTAGAAATACATAACGAGTCTTACACTGGCAGTTTTAAAAGACATACTGCAGATTATGCCAGCACGTCCTAATTTAATTTGACTAGGTCTTACAGAAAAGCACGGAGACAAGCGTGCATTATGTCTTTTGTGGGCTTCATCCAATGCTAGATGCCAAATTTTCCCTCTCTATCAATTCTGACTTACCTGCTTTAATTGCCTGTAGCCGTGTTAAGACAGAAAGGCGTTTTTGCAACTTGTAGAGGAACATCGCAAAGACTAATCCTCTAAGAGACAAATGCTTAGTGGTTTCATGTTCTCACAATGAGAGACTATGAGCCTCTGTCATGAATGGAAAAAAATCAAAGCCATTTAAAACAGCCTACAACAAGAAAAACAACAGTATATCGTATAAAAACAAACATTAAAACAGCCACAACCAATGTACAAAAATAACCTCATTAATCTGCTTTTGTTAAAACGGCGTTAATCCCGGCATTCGACAAACACGAAGGAACATTTTCTCTGACAAAACCATGAAATCTAGGTGACAGTGGCAGAGCTGAAGGGGGGTTCACATGGAGGAGGAAATGTCAGAATGTCAGCGGAGTCAGATCAGTCAGGGGCAAAGAGTTTGCAAGCTGGCTTTCTGAAGCATGACGTTAGGTTGTGAGACAGACACTGGATTTGCTTTATTCCACATTTTCTGTGACATCCGAGCTTAAACACTTCTCCGCCCGGTGCGAGATGAAGCACCATGACAACATTTTTGTTTATTTTCTGAACTTGCCTGCAGTTAGCGCTGCAATGCAGTACTGATTTACAGAAGTAGAGGCAGCTATTAGTTACCATGCCCGTGTTCAGGATATACTTCAAAGCTGGTTCCAGTTGTCTTAAGAGCACAGCTGTATTTCCACAGTGGCAGTGCTGCCAGCTACTGTATATGTAGCGCTGCAGAGCCAGGCAGTAAATAAGAGACGTGCGGAGGGGTTTGTGGAGGCAGCCAAGCAGACGAGATGTGACCACTCGTGCCTGCGCTGTACATCAGCAGCTGTCATGTTCCCCCCGTGGACACAACAAGAAGAGTCTGAGCATATGGGGACAGGCAGTGAATCACAGCCAGGAGGGTCGGTGCACATAACAACCCAGATCTGCTGCTTCCTGAAGCACGGACCTCTTCCTAAAAACGTGTCTCTCAGATTAAGTCATTATCAAAAAATCAACCTGTTAAGAATTACTTCAGGTGATACTCGGAGGCATACAGGCTGACAGACTGGAAGAATGTCTAATGGGTGAATCTTGGTGGGTCATGCCGTGTCACTTGTTAGCCCATGTAGCGGCAATGCGCAGTGTCTGAGTTCCAAGGCTTCATCCAAAGCAACTAACTCTCCTGTCAACAATTACCTTGGATACAATTTAGAGCACAGAAATTTCTGGTCCCAATGATTTCTGTACTCCTGATAATTCTAGTATATTACGACTTGGGCCTTACTGTGGTAGTTTTGGCCATCACTCTTATCGGTAATGGCACTGTAAGTTCTTTGCAGAGACCTGGAAATGTGGCCTCTAAAAAGAAGTCGGATGGGGAAAGAAGCATGTAGGCTGGCCTCTTGGATTGCTGCCCACATCTCAGACTTTTTCTAACAATTGACAAAACGTCTTGTGCTCATTGACGAGTGTTTTTTTGGTTGTTGGGAGGAGCAAATGAGCCAATGAGAGCAATGGGGACGTCTTCCTGTGCCATAGTGAGAAGAACAGCCTGTGTCCGAAATCACTCCCCAAACTATACAGTGCATTTTCTGTTTTTTTTACAGTCCCACACTTTCAGTATCCAAATTCAGAGTGTGGAATTCATGACCCACACAATGGCCTCCAATTTCCCACAATGGATGGATCTAATCAGCCAAGGTAATTGAAAACACCTGTGTGGCCGTGCAGGGCTTTTGTATCAGCATCTGTCGACCGTGGCGAAAGACGGGAGCAGCTCCTCGCAACCGCGTTCATGTGGAAATGACTTTGTCACATCAGAGAGGAAAGTCAGCCCTCCCTCCCCAATGGAGAACGGCTAATATGAACACAGTGTCATGATGACTATTGAAATGGTAAAGCAACATGGCAAAAGGCCTTTCTCACAGGAGACATTTGGACTTTTCATAGAAGGAAAAGCACACTACTAACGATGGGTCTGTTCGTATTAAGTGTTCCAGTGAGCGAGCACAAGCAGTACCAGGAACCTGAAATCAAAGCAGCTAAATGGAATTCAGCCATCATAAATTTCATTACTTAGACCCGAGCTATTTCCTACGGCGACAAGTCAAAATCTTTTCTGTGAAAAGGGCCAATATTTCATCTGATTATCAGCCTATAGGAACATGAGCAGTCAGATGATCGTATAGGTTTTTGAACAAACTCCCACATTAGATTTCACTGTTCACTGAGGTGAACAGTGAAATTATTATTCAAACTGTCCATCAGAGTTTACAGATGGACTTTTCGGTTTACCTTTGTGTTTTCTGAACAAGATGGTAGCTAATGTGGTTAAACTATTGGCCTGTTCACAACCTGTTGGATCGTCTGACTGCTTGTTTCTTGCCTCGTTGTTGAAATGTTGTAATGCACTTGAGTTTACTGTCACAGCTGATGACCAATCGCAACCAAATGATGGCCTGAACTGAAGTAAGTCTTTAACAATAAGCTGTTTTTTTACACCACCAATACTCTGTATCTGGTGGCCACACCAGATACAGAGTATTTTCAGTCTTAAGACAGCAAGCACATATTCCTTTAGTGAATCAGTGGTAAACAGGCATCAACAGACATGTCCTATAGGCTTTGTTGCCATACCTATCTGTCTCAGCTTTGATCCTCCTACACTCACCACCCCCCCTCCACCGTGGCTGCAAGAAAAGTAAGCTTATGTAAAATCTCTGAAGTTGCAAACCAGAGTATCTGTGTGATGAGCAGGAATGTCAGCTATTGTGGGTACGTATTGAGCATGGAGCTCATTGCTTTCTGACACGTGGTAAGAAAATTGGGGCGAAAAAAAAGAAACATGGAAAGAGGAAGGAGTTGACAGCCAGAGAGAGGAAGAGTGAGAAGGGCAGAGCAAATTGATGAGATCTCAAGAATATAGAAGAGAAGGTCTCTAGCCGCCTCCGCAAACACAATTGAATGTAGCAGGGAGACATCATGTCTGATCTGCTTTCGCCTCTCGTGCCCTTGCTTTACACCGTGTTTTTTCCCCCCCTGCAGCTTGGACAATGTGATAAAACCCCCCCACAAAGTCTCACACACACACACACACACACACAAACACAAACACACACACACACATTTGAGTCTGTATTCTCGAAGGGGGAACTGAATCACCCAGATCTCTTCACTTGACAGTCCTGGTGGAGCCCTAATAAACAGCAATTTTACACCATTTGTGTTGTCTCATAGGGAATGGGAATACTGCTGATGTGTTGCAGTATAAAGTGTGTGTGTGTGTCTGTGTTCACTAGTAGATTTGCGCATGACAAGTTATTGTTCAGAGAATACTGCAGAATTTGGTGCAAAATAAATCCTCCGATGATTTCTCACACCAACATGACATTCCTCCATCACGCTCGTTTTACCAAAACATCTATAGCCAAAAGAAGAAAAAAAAAATGAATCATGTATTACATTAAACAGCATCCCCACATGTCCGTGTTGCTCCACAGCAACATCACGTCAAATCCATCTGAGAGCTCATTGCACTGATCTGTTCAACACTTACACATCACAGGAGCGTCGACGACTTACAAAAAAACCCAAAATGAAGACGTTTGACATTTCAACGACAAAGGTAAATCAGTAAAGTAGAAAACTACCATGCCATGTTGAAACTCTTTCCAAGTGAAAAGGAGGCTCGACTTTAATCAACATGAGGGAAAAAGAAACTCCACAAATGTTGAAGGGTATTATCAGTTGTATATGTTCTCTTTGCCTCAGAGAAGGGTGTGTGGGCATTAGTAAAGTCTTCATTGTCTTAAAGTCTGTCCTTGCTTCCTTTCCAGCTAATTTTTAGTCCAAGCAAGAAAAAAAAAAAAGTAGAATATGTAATAGAAATGTACTCAAGAGGAGTGACAACCAATGGGATTCTCTTCCTTGCCGAAAATAGGTGTCCCTTCTCCTCCACTTGTGTTACTCTTTGGCAAAATGAATGGAGCGAGAGGAGAGAGCAGAATGGAGCGGGGAGACAGCTGGGATCTGTACAGAAGGTCTGGGAAGTGGGGGTGGGGGGGGGCAAAGAAGGTTGTAAAGTGAAGGCGGGCGGGGAAGCTGTTTAAATCAGAGTCTCCTCTCCATTGGGAGCCTCCCTCCAAGGCTAAGCATCGTACTTCTTCCCTGTTCTATGGATGTGGTGGAACAGCGTCATGGAGAACGCCATGCCCAGGAGCTGTGGAAGAGCGGAGAAGGAGGTGGTGAATTTGTGTGTGTATATATACGTACATACAGTCTGTGTGTGCACATGTGTCTCTGTGTGGTCTTTTTGATGTTGATGCCTTATGGCTGCAATGAGTTTTGATGCGCTGTATATCCTGTGGTGAAGCGCAAGCACTTTCTCGTTGGTTTCACTTTATATATATACATACACAATATAAAAAATGGCTGTCACTGTCTTTTCATATTCATCAACATGAACCCCATTAGTGTATGACTGTATAAAAATAAATGTTAAACCTGTGCAAAATAGGCATATCGTTTGTTTTCATGGACGGCCGAATGGTGCGTCACTTTAAATGTTGCCGCCGCAAGGAATTGTGGGGCGGGATTGTCTTCTTTCCTTTGGTAAAGGATGGTCCAGTGTATCCTATGCTGAAGGGCTAAGAAAGGAAGCATTGAAGCACCTTTCCTTAGCATTTAGAGAATTTCAACAGCTCCTATATCATTGCAGCCACTCGGATACTTCTGGGTGATTTCACTCCGTTAGGAACCTCAGCAAAAGGGAGTTTTCGACTGCAGCCTGTGTGTGTGTGTGTGTGTTTGCAGAAGAATGAACAGACAGGGAACATATAGTGTCAGACAGAGACAAGAGGGTCGGTGAGTGTGAATGAATCCATGTAAGAAGAGTGTGCTCTTTCATGAATACATAGCGGCTGTATACAGTAATGCTCACTTTCTCACAGTGGGTGCTGTGAACTTCAACAGAAGTCTCAAGCACCATCTTTCCCCAAGGACAATTGAAATGTGAAGAATCTTACAAAACTCAACTAGGGGATTTCATAGCGAGGCCACCCTTGCTCTGAATGAACAAGAGTTCATGAATAAGCAAACGGGAGAGCGAGGGCAGGGAAAATAAAGCAAGAGGGCATGTTGAAAAGTAAGAAGCAGAGTGCAGGGGCAACGCATCGCATGAACAGGAATTTTGTGTGAAAAATGTTCGGGTTAGGTTAGGTTAGGGGGTCATCCCAGTTAACGTTACCCTTGAAAGGTTACCAGTCTGTCACAGGGATGGCACATATAGACAAGCAGGCCCCAGCTGGCTGTTTCTGGATCCAAACCCAGGACCTAAATATGTTTCAACTTGAGCAAAAACATTACGCTTATCCCTGGGCTTTATGACTCTATTTCATCAACGTATACAGAGACTGCAGGAAGAAGGAGAGAAATTGGAGGAAGATTACAGAAACAACTGTGAGTTCCTGATGGATGTTGAAATGAGTCAAGAGTCTGAGCTGTCATGGTCGGTGCATTGCTAGCTAGCTACAGCTAACGTCTGTATAGTTGGTACTTAGCTGGCTGCCTGGAGTGAATAACCGCAAACTGCAAAAAATTTATGCAAAGGCGAGGGGAAAAAGTACATTTAGCTTTCTTCAGTCTGCAGACACTTTTAGGACACAACCTTCAAGTAAGTAGGAAATGTACTGCAACGTCAGTGACACTCGCCGATCAAAGAGGGATAGATGTAAAGCAGATTTTAGGACAAAAGGAGAAACGGTATCGTAGGAGGAATATCTATCACCCTTGCTTTTAATCTGAGACTCTATACCTACTCCTCCATATTCAGTATCTCCGCTGATCGCTCCTTATACGTGACTACAGCCTGTTTGGCTCAAATCCAGGAAGGCTTTGATTCTCCCAGACAGGATCAGAGTGCAGGAGACAGTAACTTCAATATTTCAAGATGTGTGGGTGCTCAGAACACCTACTGAGCACAGTCCTCATAACTTCCACAGGAGAAGATGGTGACACAGAGGCCATGGGATGCACATATTTTTTTTTTCAAACATGTTGCCAGACATGAAAACAGCAAAAAATGAAGAAACAGGGAGAAAACAAATGGGAGAGAAGCACAAAGAAATGAATGAAATGAAGAATGAAAGTGCCATTTATCAATAAGCCTCCTACCTGCACCACCAAGATGACCATGCCTATGGTTCCCAGCAGGTGCTTGTTGTCATCCAGCCATTCCTCCACTTTCTCGAAGCAGCCCTAAGATGAAGCACAAGCTTGTAAAGATACCACTAAAGAAATGTGCATTTTCAGTGCTGCAGAGGAATCATGTCACTTCAGTTGCTGCCTGTTTGGTCAAGTAGAAAAAACCCATGCATCCTGTTCACGCCTTTCCACTAGAATGCATCTCTTGCATACGGGATATACCCTTGGATGAATGAACTACCAGGTGAGGTGTTAAAACAAGTGAATTGCCCATGAGTGGTGACTTTTATATGCAGACTTATGGGCCATATAGACTGTTAAATATATTACCACCTGGGTTCATTCAAGGGTCACTCACTGTCAGGGGAGGTGGGGTGAAGGACTTAATTGTGGTTTCAGCTGCAAAGTGGTGCCCCGTCTTGAGTGTGGGTGCTGAAGCGGCATGTAAAGCTAACTATATAGTGTGTGGCCGTCTCCTCTGGGCAGGATTACACACAAGCTTTGAGTGCTGCGCTTTCCCAATGGGCCAGCTCAATGTCTGCCTATTCTCGTTTCGGCAATTCGATTAGAGTTTATTACAGTTTTTAATCCCCTACTTTGGACCTGCTAACAAACCACACATGCCAGACCAAATATAGCAGATTAGACTTGTAATGGAGGGAGATTGTTGAACGTTGTGCTCCAAGCCTTTTGAGGAAAAAAAACGGCGACTGTTTAATACATAATGGAAACAAATCCTGTGTGATCAGCAACAAGACAAAAAATGAAAAACTACTGAACAGATGGACCGAAGATGTATGGTTGTTATGTCCTTTGTGAATGTACAAACTTTAAAGTCTCTGTGTGTGTGTGTGTATATATATATATATATATATATATATATATACACCCACCAAAAGAAACACCAAAAGAAACACAAAACATGAGTCTCTTTGTGGTCGTTCAGCGTCTCTGGTCGTTTTGCAGCTCTTTGTGGTCGTTTTGAGCCACTTTGTAATTGTTTTATTGACTTAATGAGAAATGTTTACAGTCACCTCAAATAGAGCCTCTAACCTAAGGGGCTCTCTGACCCATTGAGCCTCAGTAGACCCATTCAGTTATGCTTCATACAGTGCATGAACAATAGAAAAGTATTTGTGAATATATTACAGCCGATGTGAACTCACCCTGTTCCAGAACATGTTCGTGGAGTTATGCCCACAGTTCTGGTAATGCTCCTGGCAGCAGCGGTCAGGTACTACCTTCTCCTTCAGGGCCTCGTGCCAGTCGGTGTATGCTATCACACCGCAGCACTTCCACTGTGAATGACACACACACACACACACACACACACACACACACACACACACACACACACACACACGCACACACACACACACACACCAGACAAAATATGAGTTAATGTTTCCCGCCAAACTAACTTTAATGTAACCAGTATTGTAATTAGTCCCTTTGCTAGCACTGCAATAATGGAGTGAGGCGTACTTCAGCAGTTAGATTTGACTTTAAATTTGCATTAAAGCCACTGCCACGCCAGGGAATACATTAGCTGGAATATTTTAGTAAAACTTTGCATTTATGTGTCACTTCTAGGGTTGCGAGTGAACGTTCATGCTAATTTTTCTAATATTTGATGTAATGCATGGCGTGAGGTCTGCTTACCTCTGCCTGGATGATGTTCCAGGCATTTCGTAGGCCTATGTTGTTCTCCGAGTTGTAGAGAGCCAGCCCATCCTTCAGATCCTGCTTGGCGTTCTCACTCACCTGAAGACGAAAAAGGAAACAACGGCCTTTATTAGAGACCTTGGTTTGAAGGGTTCGGTTGAAGAAGTGTTAATTGAGTTTTAATATCAATCATAGTCTTTATATTGGAGCAGGTAGTTGAAGCTTAAGTGTTAGGGCGCATTCATCGTCTACGTCTTTTTCACACAGATTTACATGATCATTTATATGATAATAGTAGCAGTGAAGTGTTTTTTAGTCATGATGAGAAGGGTACATAGACGGCTGACTGTTACTGACATTTAAAGACAGAAAGTACCTGTGGCTGCCAACATAAAAAACAAACAGCAGCTCAGTTACAGGTAGCTTGTTTTCTTGTCATCTAAAAATAACCCTGCTACAGTCACTTGGACTTTTGAATGACTGCAGATCTGACACACGTCATGTGTCGCTTGGCTCCACACACTCATGCCTTCAGCAGAGCAAGCAAATCGTTTTCCTCTTGACTGAACCCCAATAATATGCTCAGGGTCGTGCCATGTCTGATGGAGATTAATATCTCATCGGATGTGTTAATGAGATACAAAATCACAGCTTTCGTTCTCCTGCAGTTTGCGCTGCCCGTGGGGATTTGCTAACTGCCTGGACAGATTGAGAGGCGCTTCAGATATGGGGTAATTATTACTGGGAAAAAAGATGACATGCACCGTCAGAACCATGCACACATCTTCACAGGCAAGTTACATCGCAACAAAACAAAATGCACTCGCTTTAATAGCTAAAGATTAAGGCCTCAGTCTGTGCCCGGGAAAAAAATAAATAAACGAATTCTTCACACAATAAGAGAAGCGGCATCATGGCTGTCACCGCCTGACACAACAAGTTACTTTCAGCTATTCTTCAATTTCTTTACTCACAGAGGTAGAACTGGTCTTCAGTTAGACATTGTTTGGAGGCTGCTCAGTAAATCCCTCAGTGAAAAAAATCTTAATGTTACTTGACTAATTACCTGTGTAGCTCAGCAGTTACCTGTATTCTGTACCGAGTATGAGAGATAGACCAAATCTCCATTTGACCAAACAGAAATCTAAATTAAGCTTTAAATTAAGTGGTTCAGCAATTTATCGATGGGAAGAAAAACCCTAAAACCCCTGTTTGGTGAGTATTTCCTGAATTAAACATAAAAGCCAAAAAAGTTTTGTTACGGAGTAATTAAAGTTCCCCTGGCAATAAAATGCTTTAGTTATAGCTAATCATGCAAAACCCATTTAAAACATCCTTTAAAACCTTTGAAATAAGATTGGTATCATTTCAAATCGCGCTCTTCTTTCTTGCTTGTTGACTTTGCTGATGCAGAGGAGCGTATCTGTGCAGTGCACCTCGGGCTGCAGGCCCTTGCAAATCTGTCCTTGTGCAGGAAAATGAGATGAAGAGCAGCATCATCAATCTGTGCCTCGTACGTTGTTTCTGTCCTTTATCTCTTCCTCTCCATCTCGGCTATACGTGATGCTGCTCGCTCATTACTGACTCCTCGCGCTAACATAGTCACTAGAGAGCATGAAGGGGGGGGGGTGCCCTGCTACAATAAAAAAACATCTTCTGAGTCACCAATGAGTCTTTGCTGCAGCCTGAAATGAAACGTAATTATCCAGATTTACCGCCAACGAGAGGAAGACAGATGACTGCAGAACAAACAGGGATTTGATGATGCAACTCTCCTTGCAAAAGGAGCGGATACATACACATTCTTTGTTGCATTAGCCTATTTCTTCTGATGATGAAAACTAACTTCTTGACTGAAGCTCATGTTACTGGTACAGGAAATCGTTCACAAATAGCCTTACTTTGGCAACATCTAACCCCAGGTTACTTTTCTCTGAGAGTTTCCACAGGGCATCAGTGCAACTCCTCAGACGTGGCATATTGACAACACCCTGCTCGTACTTTTCATTACATAGATAAGCTTGTGGTTTCCCTCTGGGCTGACCAAGTCCATGCTCAGCAATACAGGAAGCTACAGGACAGCACATTCATCACATACATCTAAAGGGTTCAGCTCGGCCAGCGTAGGTGAACACACAACAGTCACATAAAGGGAGAAACAGAGGGAGACAGAGCAGATATACAGGTTGACGGGGCGATTGAAGGAATAAGCCTTCTATCCAAATTGGTGTGTGTTTTCTATCACTGTGCACAAAAGCGGAGAACAGAGAGTGGGTGGTGGAGTGTCTGATAAACACCTGTCTGCCTGTCACTTGCGACGCTGTAATAATACAATACAGCCAGTCAGTGCTGAACTTACCAAATAGTAAGGTATTAAAGATATTCTTCACGTAATTTTCAGTTTCTTCTTTGATTTAAACAACACCATTTATTTTCTTAAATTTTACCAAAATCTCACAAGCATATTTTGGGGGTTTTATCCCACAGAGACATTATTAATAATTCATGTACAAGAACTCCTTACTGACAGATCTGGTGACAGGTAAACACCCCGGGGACCAGGTAGACTGGGACTTGTCACCGTGCATATATGGAGCAACACTGCTTATTCATTACTGGAGTGCATTGCCATGACTGAGCTGACTGCTCCCATTTTGCAAAAATGTGAAAGATCACATTTTTTTTCTTGGTCATTCAATGTTGAATATGCACCTTGAATCCAATTTCCCTGGTCAGAATGCAAAGGTGACATCTGTGCCACGCAGGTGACACATTCTGCAATAACAAGTGTAGAGATTATGCACCCCGGTGAAATTCCCTCTTTCTCATTAGTTTAGCCTCTGAGGACGACTGGCTAACAACTGGTGTCTCGGAAGGCAGTTTGAGTTCCTCGCAAAACACCAGAAAGTATTGCTTGTTTACAGTAGGTGGTGTAATGCGTGTATAGAAGAGCAATTAGTGTATTGTGTTGAGTTTAATTCACTTTTACCCAACCGCTATTTTTCACTTTGAGGGATTACAATCTTCAAACAATGTTTAATTCCAAATGAATCACAGTCTCTGCAGTACAATTCCACTAAAGAAAAGACTATGCAGGAGGTTCAGTAAACATATTATCACTCTGTGAAAGCAGCTAACTAAATGAAAACACAAGCCGTCTGTGGAATCAGACAAATGGTACATTCAGTATGAAAAAATATAGCCAGATTAAGTTTTAGTAGTCTGCCACCTTCTGTGCACACTCACAGGAGAACAGAGCTTGGAGATATGCATGAGCCCACCATAAAGTACATAACTGAGGGAGAGACAAGACACGAGTCAAAGAAAAGAAGCAAAGAACACCAACTTTTCAATGAAAAATCTCTCAAACCTCTAATATATATGATTTTATGGAGACGGAGCAACATTATTTCTGGCCATGTGGTGAACATAAGGTTAATAGTCACTCTCCTTTTAGCTCTGGTTTGGTCCCTACCAGCTCCTGAGAAAAATATCTGGCTCCTAAGTTGCTAAATGCGTCACTATATTCACCAGCTAGCCACTGACTCTGTGTGTCTGCCGGTTGGTGCTCGATAGGGAGAGTAAAGTGGGTTTTTAGAGCTTTTGGGCTAAAAACGTGCTGTGGCCAGAGACAATGTGGTGAGAGTGAGAGTGGGGGGAGGGAACCAAAACAGTCAAATTGAAGGCTGGTGCAATCGGTCGATAATTCAATGTGGGTGGCAACTTATTTGTACCGTAACATTTAGGTCAAGTTATTTTGGTTATGGTCGAGGTAAGTTTCGATGACCATAAGTTGAAAACGGTGAAGAAAGAAAATAGGAAAACTATAACATGGACTTTTCCATTAAAGCAGGCTTCACATTCATGTCAAACTGGAAATGGACACCAACCCTGATGGTCTTCACTGTAGAAGAAAGCACTCTTGACGGGCAAACTGTCCATTTTGCAGGCCTATTCTTCAAATTTCCATTGCATGTTCTACAGTATTCACCTCCTCTCCTCCCTTTCATCCCGTCTTCAGTCTTTAAACATGACTCACTCTCTGAAGTCTTATACAGCTGCACATCTAAACAAATTGTACTTTTCCTTCAAGTAAAAGAAAGCAGGTTGTTCTCTGTACTGTCGGATCACAGAGACTCCGTTGGCTTATCTCCAGTCAGCTGTACAACAGTGTTGAAAGAGTGTTAGCTAATAACCAAACACTGAAGTGACGGTCACATCCCATCTTACAGCATTAGCTGTACACCTTTTTCCATATGTAATTTGTTACATTCACTCCTTGGCACCTCTTTGTGTTCAGTACTTTTACACTGTGCTCCACAATCATTCAATCATTCTTGGGTGTATATTGTCAGGTCACACTGGCTGTAATTGTCACGTCCTTTGACTCTCGAGGACCCTAGGAATCAAACATAACAATATTTTACTGTTGCTCTCATTGCTCAACTCTGGACAAGTGCGTTAGCTAACTGCCCGGAAAGTGTAATAAATGATGTGGAGAAAAGCAGCATCACAGCCAGAGGTCCCCAACAGCACATCATTAAAAAGGATACTTAATTCCCTCAGTTGCTCTGCAAGCCTGTGCTGGGTAGCCCGAGGTTGTGGCACTCAACAGAGCGAGGGGAAGACCCCCACGACTTCTCTGTAATTGGTCTAGAAAAAGATAAAGCATGGCCAGGGATTGAACATAATTCCGCCGGTAAACTATGACTAGATGTGTGTGCCGGTTTGCTGGGTTGTTAGCTAGATAAATCATGGATGTGGCATAACCTTCTCTGCTCTCAGAAATAGTCTATAATGTGATTGACCTGCCATCCTCCTCCATGACATCATTGCCTTTATCCGATCTCTCTTTCTAAGACTTTACAGGAATGCCTCACCTCACGTTTGTCCTCTTTTGATTCTCCCTTTAGACTATATTTATGTACTTCTACCTCTTTCCTCCAACACCTTGCCTCCCTAACCCATTCATCTTCTCTCCCTTCCCTCCCTTAGATACCTCACTTTACATTTTCTCTCACATGTGTCCACATGCATTTCCCCTTCTCCCTACACCCCCATGAACATGCTCTGGTGCTCCCTTTCTCTGCTTGCCAGGTTCTGCTTTCTCATTCTGAGCTAGTTAACCTAAACTGGTGTTCGGCTCGGCATGTTGGTTCAACGGAGGCACAATGAGGTCACATCGTTAAAGACGGATGGCTGTAATCTGGTTTGTGGCCCAGCCATCTGCTGCAGTCAGCTGTTTGCTAACTGCAGGCCCAGCCTTTATTATACTACGGCCTCTACATGGCATTTAATCAGAGAGCTTAACACCACTGGGCTGTGGAGGGAATGAGTGGGTACCTAAGCCATACCTGGAGGCAAGACTGCTGGGTTGAGGAAGAAGGGAGAGAAATTCTCCATTAAGAAGAAAGAGCAGAACCTCTTAAGAAGGATTAAACTGGTGGAAATTCAGAAATAAGGGGGAGACTAAATGAAAGCAGTGAAAAAAATGTCTTCCTCCAGCAAAACCAGATACTATATGTTCGTTTTCTTCCCTACATATCGTCGACAGCTTGTCACCCGGAAAGATCACAGTTTGTAGAGGTGTCACTCATGACTTAAAGATAACCTATTTGAAAGACTAACATATCTGACGATACACATTCAAAAGCTGCCAACTACTGTATGTCTTCCAGACTTGTTAATAAATGCCTTGTGATTAGAAGATCAAATAGCAGAAGTGAATTAGTGATTCCTCTGATCACAGCCTGTAGGAGAGGATGAGGAGAGGCTCACACGGCATACTAGATCTCACTGGAGAGAGGCGAGAAAAAGAACAGAGCAATGTCTGATGGCCTTGTGTGATGGACAGCGATTACCCTTCATCTAATCCTGACATTCTGAACATATACTGCAATCTGAGTATCAGCGCCACACAATTTCCTCAAATTTGCAGGATGTCTCATTTGGAGGAAGTCTGATAATGCCATCTCCAATGACATATGACTTGCTGTAATGCCCTTGCTTTCCAATGACATTTGAAGACCAATAAAGGGAAATATATTGGGTAGTGATTAGCATTATCGTGGTTCCACAACCCATTAGGGTCTAGTGCAGGATAAACACTCAATTTGGCAAGATGGGAGAAACAAAAAATACATTTGCTATCTACTGGTACTGGTGTGAATCAGACAGTTTTGCCAGAGTAATGCCCTATTCGGCACAAATGCAGACTTTAATTTCACATTTAAGAAATACTCAGCCCAGCTTGGCTATCTTTTCCAGACTTCACAGGTGATGGGAAGGCACTGCTGTGAAGTCAAGAGACTCTCTATTTAAATTCCACCGGAGGGATCAGAGTTTGGATTTTTTTTTCTCCACAGTTAAGCCGGTAATATTTTGGAGATAAGGCAACAGACATATTTACTCCAGACAGGGTGTGCCTCCGAGACCTGATCCAAATCTGAGAATGGATTGGTTGCTGAATGAATTCCTTTATCTGCCTAAGAGACTAAGTTTGAGCAATAACCTCAGAACAAAGAGTGAGAATTAGCCGACGCCCCCGGGGGCTGGGCGACAGAGACTTTGAATGTATAAATATACAGATCTATCAACGACGCGTCCTTGAAAACATTGCTTTCCCTGCGCAAGACATTTGTCATGTTCAGGATGAAACATTTGTGGGGCCATTTGATTAACCAGAGTATAATCCAGTCTGTTCTTGGATGTCAGTAATCTCCAGAGCTTTACATAGCATCATCTGTTGCCACCACACAGGCATTCACCTGACTTGAGCCCATGTGGGGGTCATGGGAAATGTGCTGGGGGCCAACTACAGGGAGCCAACTGGTGGGGATTGGGCTGCATTTTGTGGCCTAACCTTTGACCGCTGCGTTAATGGCTGAATAAAGATATTCAACCTCCTGTCTGAGAAACACAACCCCAAAAAAAGAGTGAACTCAAGATACCCGGAAGCAACTGGAGATAGATATGTTTGTACCACTAAGACTTTTAATTGCTTCATGCAGTTGCTCCAGTGTGTGTGCTAGTGTGTGTGTGTGTGTGTGTGTGTGTGTGTGTGCACAACTTTTAAGACATTAACTTTCCAAGGCCAGGCTGTTCAAACTGTGATGTATGCCAGACAGCCGTTGCAGTGCGGGTACACATATATGATGAAATATGGTAGACTGCACAAAGAAAACGTTACAGAGTTGACTGGAACAATGACAGACGTTGGCTTTAACATCCAGGCTTAACATGGAAAATGAAACTAACTTACCTTATCGGAGTACACGAAGAACAGGATGAGCAATATCAGCTCTGCCAGGAGAATTATCAGCAGGACAATGAAGAACTGTCAGAGAGAGGGAGGAGAGCCTTGTTTTAACAATTGCCTTGTCAGTATTGTTATTCTACCTTGTCATGCCGTTGAAAACACGTTGAAAATAAATCTGAGTCTCTATTGCAGTCATTTCTGTCTCTGAGTGCTACAAGATGTGAGGAAAAACAGCAATTACATGACTGTAGGTGACATGCATGACAGTTTACAACATACATTTTTCAATGTGCGCTGCATCTGGGATTTGCAGTGCTTTTGATTCATACTCTACCTTCAAATGCAATGTGTGAGTATGTGATTCCTTCTGTAGCTATGCATAGAAACACCATCAGTCAATTCAGGTTAAATGAATAGTTTTCGTGAAATAAGCTTATTTGCGCTCTTGCCGAGAGTTACGTGTGAATATATACTGTATATATAGCTTAACTTAACAGAGCTTGGCTCTGTCCGAATGTAACTAAATCTGCCTACCAGCACCTTTAAGCTCCCTAATTAACACATTATATCTTCTTTAAGTACAAAGCACAAAGTGTAAAAAGGACACTTAATTTTATTGGAAGTAATGTGCTGGACTGGAGACTCTGCTGGTTGCCTGACAGCCTTACTAACCGTGACAACAGGACTGCAGGATGTTACTTTGCCCAGCCAAGAAATAGCCCAACACCCAAACAAATAAGATATAACATGTTAATTAGCGAGCTTTAGAGGTGGTGGTATACACATTTTGTTACGTTTGGACAAAGCCTGTTTCCCTCTGTTTGCTGTGTTTGTGCAAAGCTAAACTAACTGATTAATTTAGCATACAGAAAGAGTGGGATCGATTTTAGTGGGATCGAATTTCTATGTGATTCTCGGCAAGATATCAAATAAGCACATTTTGCTACGTGTTGAAGTATTCCTTCAAGGTTACTGTCAACGATCTCAGTTTGTGGGCAGAATACACAGCAACCCAGATTCGTCAATAATAAAAAGAAGGCAACAATCACAACCTCAAAAACATTCAAATGAGATAAGGAAAGACAGACAACGAGAGATGAAGGAGGAGGCGGGAGAGACAGAGGGAGGAGAAAAGGAGAATCTAAGAGCTGGAGGGCTTGTGGACGAGTGAGAGGAGGGAAAGAAGGCATAAGACCTCCCTAGATGCATTTCATCTACCATTCTCCTCTCCCTACTTGACTCCCCTTCAGCTCAATATTTACCAAGCTCTTCTGCGCAGCATGGGAGGAGGCAGGCAGACCTAGATTCTAGAAAACCCCATTAATTCCAAACTTATTTGGGAGGAAGGGGGTCGGCTAATATTTGTGTCGAGGCCCAAATTAAATGGTAACGTCAGTTTGCTGTTGGTTAAGTATCTGGGTTGCCAGTTTAGCGTGTCACTGTTGCTGCTGAAAGTTAAAGTGACAGCTTCGGTACACTAAATTGGTGGTGCTCTGATGATCGTGTGGGAAAGTGTGTGTATTCGTATACACACACAGCTTCGTGGGCGTATGTAGCGATTCACACTTTCAGGGTTTTAAAGAGTTTCTGCCAGATATTTCAGTGTTATATCTCTCCCACTTTTTTTTTAAAATTTGTTTAAGTAAACATTTTTTGGCAGCAAAAAAGAGAGAATGAAAATTGACTGCAAAGGATGTCTGGGCTGTGAATATTTCTAATCCAGAGAGAGTTGTCCGCAGAGAAACTTCAGAGATAATATGTCAAGGTAGACGCTCAGATCCGTTTGCTGCGGGAGATCTAAACCCACTCTGATATTTCCACGTCCTGCTCTCCCCCACTCCACCCCTGGGTGTGCTGAGCCGGACAGTCATGCTAAGAAAACAACAACTCCGAGCAGACACCGTTGCACTGAACAGAATTATCACGGCTAAATATGAAACGCTGCCACACACTGATGACTTAATACAACATTGGAACCTCTAGATTTCCCAGTCGCTCTTTTTTGTAATTTACAAAATGTCTCTTTCTCGCCCCCCTCTCCCTCTCCCCCCCCCCCCCCCCCCCCTTACCTGCACCCGGCTCTCTTCCTCTCTCTGCTTCACAGTTGTTAGGCAGGTGAAGGAAGCCATGTCGAACACAGAGGATTTGGTGGGGCTTTTGGTCGGATGCAAGAGCTTCGAGGGATTGAGCTGTTTGTGATGTTAAGTATACCCAAAAGCCGAAACTCCACTTTTCAGTTAAAGTTCCCATACATGAAAGTTTCCTTTTCTTTCTTTGCGACAGTCCACACAAATCTCATTCCACTGAACTTTCGTAATTAACTTTTGCTTAAGATAAAACACTTGCACAACTTTGGGCAAACAGTACAACGCCAAGACAGTCTTTGTAATGAATAATAGAACATCCTACATTATTGAGCACAAAAATATCAAGTGCTTTTAGTGCGCTATGTACGTACAGTAATTCAACCAGGCTGGGGACACAGAAGGCCTCTTGACTGACAGCTCTGTTTCTGGGATGTGACCAAAGCCATGGAGATGTCATGAATGTGTTGGTGTTAATATGCAGAAAGGGAGCATCTTTCAGCTCAGCTCTAATTTTCCTTTGAGAGCTCCCGAGGTTTTATACAATGCAGAATAAACTCTTCCTGTCAGTCGGCTACCTCCGCTGAGGTTCTGGCTGGAAGACAAATACAGATACCCTGCTGAGTTCTCGCTGCCCTGTGAGCAGCATGTGTGGGTGTATAGACAGCCACATATGTGAGAGGTTGTCTCCAAGACGTTTCTGTCAATATTTGCATGGCCGACACGGGGGAATATGAGAATATTTCAAAGGAGGAGAGTAAGAGTGAGCCGTGTGTGAATTAATCCTGAGACAGTCGTCTGCGTGGCTCTCATTTATAACGGGGCACTGCGTAGGTACCGCATGTAGATTGAACTCACGCTCAGAAGCAGGCACTTGTTCTCCTTGATGGCACCCAGGCAGCCGAGAAAGCCCGTTACCATGACGATGGCGCCGACGGCGATGACCATGTTGGCAGCCGACAGCGAGGGGAACGAGGGCGAGAAGGTGGCGAAGCTGCCCTGCGACACGGACAGCCAGATGCCCACGCCGAGCAGCCCACAGCCGCATAACTGCAAGGAGAGACAGGCCACAAGGTTAGCAAACCAACAGCAGGTAAGTTGTTTCTCAGGGTTAGTTACAGCAATTATTTACAAAAAAAAGGTCATCGTCGGCTCTCTTCCACCCTGGCAGGATTTGCTCGTAACACAATGATAGACCTTCTGAACAATACGGGTAATCTACAGAGCAATGTCAGCTATAGATGAAGGCAAATCCCAGCTCAAAAAGCCCAACGCAACAGGCTCAACTGCCCACACAGTCATCCATCACCAAACACATGCTCAAAAAAAACAAGAGGGTTTACACCAATTAAAACTATGATAAGCCAATAACAGCTCCGCAAGAGATTAGAGGAAAAATTGGACTTGGGCCGCGCTGATTTTGTATGTTTGAGCTGATTACGTTAAATCCAGAACAAACAGAGATGTAATTACTGCCACCCTCTCAAATGAAAACTTCCAAGCCTTCCAAAAACCACCCGCAGTAGACTTGAACTTCACCTAGAGGGAGCAATTCACTAATTCCCCTCAGTCACACTGCCGGGCTCCCGCTGATGTGTGTGAGGTCCATTAATGCAAAGAAGTGTTTACGGAGGGCTCCGATTGCCAAAGTGTCCCATCTACTGATGTGCTGTTCCATCTATCCGACATAAGAGCCATACAGCGTGCCCACCGCTCTGTGAAATATCGGCTAGGAGGTAAGTGGTGACATTTTTGCCTGCACCTAATAGAATGAAATACCCAGGGCAATCTTGCCATGAATAAAAAAAAAAAAAAAAAAAAAAAAAAGGAATGAGGTAAAATATGGAACGGCACCATGGTAAATCATCACACCACAGCCCTCTGTTCACACCGCTCCCCTCTTCCTTTCTTATCTTTGCACCGCTGCTCCAGAACACTAACGCCTGTCAGCAATATGTGAAACAAACACACACACCTACACGCGCACACGCACACAGTCATCATCAGGTAAGAGTTATGAATACATCTCTGCTTCCTTCTTCTCTGTTAAAACAAATTAATTAATCCACCACACACAGCATTTCACCTCTGGATCTGACAACACTGAGCTGATGAATGGCACAACTGACAACAAACCTGGAAATGTGCTGCAGCACTTTCACAACAAACACAAACACTCGCACCGCGGTAAAACAAAGTGACTCCAAGCACACTACAAGTACAACAAACTCATAAGTGTCTCTCAGAGATGTTAGGTGATGATGTGTAAGAGAAACTTTGGAGTGTCAAATGCAAGCCTCATGAGCTGGTGAGAGACGCCTCGGCTCTAATGAGTCCTATAGGATCTGTAGATAAATAAACTGAGTTCACGCAGCCCCCTCTCAGGACTAAGTAACGACTAGATGCAATTAAAAGAGAGGACACGGAGAGAAAGAATCAGGACTGAGCGTAAATGAGTCAGGATAGATAAAAGCCCTATTTGAGAGTTGACTGCGCTGCCCAGGGTGTGATTTTGTGAAAGATTGGAGTCAGAGCTCTGCCAAATAAAAGCTTGAGTGCTGCTGTCAAGGTTGAAGGCAAGGGAGGCTGTAAACACTGCCTGCCCAGCACACTCTAAGAAAAAGACACGAGTTTAGTCACACATAGATGACAGTAAAGTTGCATTGGATTTCTCACCCAGAATGAACGAGTGGTCTCTGAGTGGTGCTGGTAAGACTTTGAATCATCTATCATCTAAATAATTCAGAGACAACTGTATTTGCTGGGAAGCCCCCGCTGGCCCTTTATGCTTCCTAGATTAAAAAAAAAAAGGCGGAAAGAAAGCGTAGATTGAAAAGGCCGGTAAAGGTCATGTCCCCATGAAGAGAGGGGACGATATCACTGCTGACACTCTACAGAAGGATAGATTAGGGAGGAAGGGTTCGAGGACGCAGGGGAGGAATTTTCTAGAGGACTGATAGATGGAGTGGTCTTAAGGCTCGCGAGGGGAACACAAGGAGCTTTAAGAGTCCAAGTGGGGAGGGTTACAGTGCCTTCACTTAATTGTGTTTAATGCCCAGTGAAGGGAGCTCGTCCAAGTGTGTCGCTCTCTTAAGTGACTGTGAAACCGCCCAGCCACCGGCACAATCTGTCGGATCTGAGCCTACCAGGAGTAATCTCTCTGCTCTGCTTCCACTACTACGACTACTACAACAACAACAACATGCGGTCATCGGACCTTTGTGCCACAGGAAATACCTTTAGCATAAGCTCTGATCTCTTCGGCTATCCGACCTTGGCGCGTGCGTCAGAGCTCGACCTCGAGGCTATCCGCTGAGCTCCTTATCTGCTTTTAATTGTGGGGCGATCATGTTGTGATTTCCCATCTGCGGGGAAAGGATCAGGGAATCCCCAAATAGCGGGGAGGCTTGTAAACAGTCACGGAGAAGGCTTTCTATTAAGGCATTCATTGTTATTACATCAATCGGAGCGGCAGATGCTGCAGGGTTGTGATTAACATTTGGGTTTAAGGAATAAATTGGCCGATTACCATATTTTCTAGGGACACAGAGAAAACAATGTTTATACAATGATGTTTTTTTAACTCACTTTTGATCTGAATGACCAATGAGTGATGAAAGTCAATACACCGACTGATGCAATTGACTTTTCTGATTGAAGATCCAGTGTTCACTCTTAATAAATGATCTACTCAGCAGAAATGTCCTCAAGTGCTACTGACGTTGCCACTGTTTACACATTCCCTCGTTGTTAGGGTCCCTATCTATGCAGCTTGCTTGAGCCAGCATAATGCTACATGCCAATTTAGAAAATCTGTGCAGCTCACACGGCTGCTCTGGGCTATTACTCTGCTTTCACAATTCATGGATGCAACTTTGCAGAGCGCGGACCCTATCATCAAACAACTGAGGATGACACATGTCGGCTTGCCAGGTCCACTACTATTTCAATTTTAACAAGCTTCAGTGAGGGACAGTGAGTCTTTTAGCCCTCTGGATATTTAAATATGTATTTCTGGTTTAGCTACACTGTCATAACTACTTGGCTGCTTTGTCTCGGTGAGAATGGGTCCCCCATGGATCCACGCAGCGCAGAGATGTTGGAGGATGATCGGAACATATCTTCCAGCCGTGATAATGACAAATTAGTTGCAGTCTGGAACAAAAAAAAAAACCTGCTGCTCTAAATACTGAATTGATTTTGGAAAGTTAACAGGAAAAGTTGTGACAAGAGGGAGGGATGCTGGGCACGTGTAATATCGTGCTTGAAACAGCAAGATTTATTGTCAGAAATCAATGGAAAAGGGGTTAGAGCCGACAGCAGGAATGTGTGCCCTTTTCACACGTGTTGGGCAATACTTTTAGAGCATCTCCGTGGCAGGACAGAATGGAGTCTGGTTTCTAAATGTCATTTGTGGAAGGAGTGACAAAAGGAGCCCAGCAGCGAGGAGAGGAGTAGAGCAGCATTCACTTTCGAGAAGAGGAAATTGGAGGACATGAGGTGTGAATCTATCTAACTGGATGAATCAGGCCCTGCTGTTTGTGGCCCTTTAACAAGCTCAGGGTGGAAATAGCTGCAATAATAGCAGGTGAATCAACTGTAAGGCAACTTTCTTCAAACAGGAAAGAGAGGTAAAGGGGGTCAAGCCATAAGATGTGTGGAAGAGGGTTAGCAAGCATTAAAGATAGAAAGATTGGATGCGCCCGTGAGATGTGTGGAAGACAAAGAGAGATTGAGTTCAGAGTCAGAGAAGAAGAAAATAGAGGCTGACCCTTCATCCGAATGGCTGGCTCAGAGAATTATCAGTCGCTGCAGTAACTGGCTCAGTGACACGGAGCCACTCGACACGGGACCCCACTTCAATCTCCCCCAGACAAAGGGGGGTCTGAGAGCGGGCTATGCAGTGTGTGTCTACGTAGAGGCTGGATGATATTGACCCGTTAACACCCTGATCACTCAGAGAAGTCACAATCCTGTCATAGAGAATGACAGCTTTTGTCAAATTACCACTGTCCTCGGTGGCTCAACTATCCTGTGAATGAGTTTTTAAAGTTTTTTTGAGTGAGTGATATGTGCGTGTGTGTGTGTGTGTGGCTGTCAGTGCATTGAGAATGTGTGTGTTGGAGTCTCTTACTTCAGTTTACGTAATGCTTTAAAACAGAGGGTAAATAAACATGAGGTGTTTTACACAGACATAATAAGCCTCCATAGACATCTGCCGTGCCATACTAAAAACAAACATTTTGTTTAAGTAATTAGAAAGCACTTCTACCCTTACAGCACAATAAACCATAACATTCGGGAAAATGCCAACCTTACTGCACTGCTTTAGGATGGAGCCACTTTATCACTTTACGATCCCCTCTGCCCTTTACTGCAACTCCATCTTTCTTTTTATTGGGATAAAACTTTCCTGTCCTGCGGCACACAACACATCTTCTGCTTCAGCATTGATTTTGCATTGAAATGAAGACCTCGGATAAAGGACGATTTTTCATTTCTCATCATGTGATCTCGCAAGGCCCGTGATTCATGTTGCTGTATAACTACGAAATAGCCTGCCAACTACAGTACGGGAGGGAATCAGAATCACAGAACAACAAGCGTGATAAAGCAAATGTAAACATCAAATAGGAGGGGAAAAAAAGGCTGAAAGTAAACACAGGCTATTTGTATTTTCTACCCAGCAAGTGGAAAAGGTCTTCTTTGAGGCATGCTGTGAAAGAAAAATGGTTCATTTTGAGAATAGACTCTCAAGAGAGTGTTTGTGTGTACCTGTCAGAAAAAGATTTCCTCCTCATAAATATGTACTTTTACTGTATTTATCCTCCATGGTGGTCACATTGGAGCAAACTAAAATAAAGCCTAGGTGGTGCAGAAGAACATTCAATTATATTTCACATTAACAGTCTTGATTTTGTTCTTTGACACACCATGTCCTTCAGAAAAGTTCGGGGTTTTAGTCCCTTTATTGTTAATGGCCAACAGTTTGCTCAATAAGGAACACGGTCATTTGATTCCCTTTTCTCCTCATTAAAGCTCAGCTTCAC